GCAGCAGGAAGGCAAAGAAGGCGAAGAAGGTACTAGCCGCACTCCAACTCTATTTGGTAAACATTGGGCCAAGTGTGTGGAATAAAAGCCAAACACAATGGGAATGCCAAGTGTTCGGGGGCAGAGATTGTCAAGGTCGCCTGTCTTACACGAATTCATCAGGTAATTGTGATCGAGAATCATTGAATAGTTAAGTATTGTACATATCACCTATTGCTCAATGTTAGGAAATAAATTAAAGATTTGATAACAATAAAGTAATACATATAATATCATACAATGATGATGTGATAAATGTGTAAACCGATGATAAGATTGCCAAATGCAGAAATTGTTGTGAGTTTTTAAATGGAAATTGCTTTGCTCTTAAAAATTAGTATATGATTTTCCTATAGAACTAATATTTATGCAAGTGTTTTCAACCCAAGTTAGATAAGAATGTGGGCACTCTTCGGCATCAATCCACTTTTTAACTAATTTGTACCCCGCAAATTAAAGATACCCAGTATAGCTTCGTTCCTTAAGTATGTAATAATGCCGGCTTATCGGAAACTACACATTGAACACATTTAAAGTGGCCCCATGCATAGACGGGAAACGAATCAAAGGGGCGATGAGCAAGGCAGAGAATGTAAAGATACGGATGGCAGGGGACACAACTCCATTCCCGGAGTAACTTGAGACATTGCTAAGGGCACAAGAAACACAATAATCAAAAACCTTCGACGGATAAACACTTGAGTGGAGGTCAGAAAGGAAGAAGGACCCCGCAACCCCTGGTGTCCTCGGCAAACACTTCACGGAGTCCACTTAAATTGTATCTCATGGATGCGAACCCCCGGTGCTGACTCATTTTTCGAGCTCCGAACAGGTTGGCCAACTCACACATCCGCATCCGCACCCTTGCAACCCCGCACTCGGATACTCGAATACTCGGATACTCGGATACTTGGATACTCAGATACAAATGCAGGCCCACACAACTGCGCAAACATTGCGAAAAACATCTACTTGGGTTCGGGCACAAGGCGCAACTACGCCCAAGCGGAATGAAATGCCCTGAAATTGCATGGAAATTAACAAAACAAAATGCAATAAAATAAAACTAAAAGGTAAGGCCAAAGTCGGGGGTTCGCTGTACGGATACCTTTTTGAGTTGAAGGAAAGTTGTGGCATTTGTTATTGTTTTTCATCACTTAAATATTTTAAGAAGGGAAAAGTGTTTCATTACAAAAAGTATATTTATTGTGAGTGCACATTCTACAAAATATACTAAAAGTGTGTATATGAATCTTTCAAATAAAACTAACAATGTATCGGCCTAAATGTGAGAAAAATTAATTAAACAATAGAACTCAGATTTAATACTCATTTGCAAACATATAAAACATAATTCGTATCTACAAATTTCTAAATTCAATAAATTTTAAAATGCTAACAATAAAAAAGAAAAAATGTTGAATTCGTTCAAAAATACCACATCAAAAGGCTAAGTTAGTTTCGTAAATCTTTCCAAGCATAACCAAACACACTTAATAATTCAATGCTAAATTTAATTGGTGAGAATTCGCACCCGATTACTCGCACTTCGGCATTGTTCCCCGTCATATTCGAGTATACCCCTCAGAAAGCATGTCAAAAGTGCTGGGTACTTGTACGACTTAAATGCGAACTAAGAAACACAAGACGACGACAAAATTTACTTTAGACCAAGCTCAAGCTCAACTCTGAGCTGCGGCTCCAACTCCGGTGCTCTCGAGTACACAACTCGATGCAATCGGCCAGCGAATTCGAACGAAAGGTACTTGAAAAAGTGCATGCGGGTTCATTTCCTGTTTGCTCTTGCCATTTCAGTTACACAGATAAAAATTCTTGTCATTAAAGATTTAGTGCAAATTTGTATACATTGTTAATAAGCAGGATAAAATGGTTACATAAGTACAATGTAACATTTAGTCCGAAAATAGGAATCAAATTTTGTGTAAACTTGTTTTTACTTGAGTATGTAAATTCAATTTAGTTATTTTCATAGAGAAATCTGGTTTAATAATTTAGTTTGAAGCTGCCCGATCAGGCAAATTGTAGAGCCTATAATGCATACTTCAAGGCAAAAAAAGTTTTAATAATTTTCATTTAGTGCAATTAAAAGACTTTTAATATTAGAGACAGAGGTTCTAAGGTCCTAAACAAAAACTGACTTCTTTTTTAAATAATGTATATACTAAAGGCTAAAATGTAGACAACGTTTAGTTATTGTTTCTTTCCAATTAGTTCATGATAAAGAACTACAATTGGATGACTACCAACAGCTTGCTTTACAAGTGGAAATATTGTAGTCTGGTGAAATATAATTATTTTCAGTGCATCTTAGAGAGGCTTCTTGCCATTTTGCGATGTCAGCCGAACTCGACGACAAACATGCTCAAGCAGTGGCGATTCCCCCCCACTTTTTTTACCCCCCAACATTGCAGACTTAAAGGTTTTTGTATTTCTATGTTTTTTCCCCAGTTGTGTTGCTGCTTTGTTTTTGCGGCAAACTTTTGCCTTCTTTTCTGCACTTTGGCCGGTCAGCCGCTCTCTAATTTGCCTTCAGCGATAAACGATCATCGCATATTAGGTTTTTGGCTTTACGTCAGTGCAAATTATATCCACGCAGGTTACGATTTTTGACACTTTTCCAGTGCCTCGTGTAACGGTTTTCGAAGCCAAAGTTTTATTTATCTCTTGACTACAGTTATTAATGATTGGTTTTTGGCCAGAGCTGCGGGCCAGGAAAGTGTTTATCGTCGGATCGATTATCAATTACATATACACAACTTTTCGGCTTTTTTGCCGCATTCATTGGGGGTTTTGATTAATTGACCGTTAGCAAGTTGTCAATTTGATTGCGTTTTAATGCGGCGCTGAACTTTCAATTATTAGGTAAACCAAATCGCACAAAATGTCGCAGTGACGGTGAGGTAATACTTTGTGGGATAGATAAATTGACAAAAAAAAATATTTTTGAAATTAACCCAATTTAAAATTTAAAATTGGTTATCAGAGAGTTTGCAAAAATTGTTTCCCACGTTTTGAAGAACTTGTATCTCGAATGAATAATAAATAAGGAAAGTGTTAATTTTTCTTTTGTAGTCTAACTGGTTCTGGTAACATTTTTATCAAAATCAACTAATTCTATTGTTTTAATCAACCGCATAAAAATCAATTTTCTGTCGTTTTTAAAGATTTTCACAATACATTCCCTTAATTTTTGGCCACCCACAAATTTATAACATTTTTGTTTTGCCACCGCCATTTTGTATTTTTTTTATTAATTTTAATAAAAATATTTTTCCTATTTAATTTTCTACTTCTACTTGCACTTGAAATTAAAAAAAAAAATTATAGTTACTTTTAGAACAAATAATATTGATTTAAAGTACACCGCAACTTACCTTTTGGAACTGTTTGAGTGGTATTCGTCGTATTTCGGAGGTGCTTCTTACAGCATTCAAATTGGTCCAATTGGGGCAGAGTTACCAACTGCCGCGCTGATCTCGTTAGATTCTAAGCTCGTTTCTCCCCTTTTCGTTTCGGGTTTTCAGGTGGGAGACGGAGCGAGACGCGGGCAGGCACTTGGCATGGGTATAGATATAGATATAGGTGTAGGTACTGGGCAGGGGTACTTGTTGCTCGTTTGGACCCAAACCGAACCCCAAACCTCGGATCTCTGGACGGCGGCCAGAAAATGGAAACGCGATTAGAGGCAGGCGAAAAGGGTACGGGTACACAAAAAAGATGCAGAGCCAGCAGCACGAAATAAAAAAACGAAAACAATGCCAGAAAAAATCAACATGCACACACTGACACCAAGAATATGTATCTTAAAACTGGTTTAAGATTTGTCGGGGATTTGTTGGCTCGGCCGCATCGAGTGTGTCTATGGGAGCGCTGTTTGTACTTTCCAATAACAAAACCAACTTCTTGTTTAACTCTTTGAAAACACACACGGATATCATTTCCATATAGATTCTTATTTGGAAACAACTGTTGCGCCTTTGCGGGGGGCAGAATCCCAAAACATACCGAGAACTCAAGGAGCCACGCACTTAACTTTCAAATAGGACTTATAAACGTTATTACATTTCAATTTAATACAAAACACCGGCAAAAGAACGGGTTCGGCGTTTCAAAAACAGTAAATTCCAAACACCGACAACGGAGCGAACGCACAAACTCCCGCGACTTCCATAAAATTCAAACTGAATGTTAGGTTCAGCCTTACCAGATGGGCAATATGGCCCCCATTGCATGGTGAAATAAGTATAAGGTAGTCTCATCGGCTCCATAAGTCTCTAAAACAATACGAAAGAAACAGCTATAGAGTAGGTGGTTTAACCCTTATGCGGTGCATGCGGCTTAAAATGGCATGCTAAATGGCAGTTGGGAAAAACTATTTTATAATTTTTGGTTTTTTCTTTATTGTTTGCATTGCAAACTATTTTTGCGCAGTGTGCTTGCTGCAATAACTACAACAATTATTCATTCATTTGCACACATGGGTTAATGTTTAAAAAACACAAATTTTCAGTTTGAGAAGCACAGATTCCCAACCATAAAAAAATTGTTTGGAAACTTGGTTTCAGTCTTAGTCAATCACCCCACAGTCGGTTGTTATCTTTGATTAACAGTCAAACTTAACTATCGGTTTCCAATCGGGTGAAAAACATTCTCTAAACGGTTGGACAACGTTATCTCAAACGGTTGGACAACCTTTTTCCAAACGGTTAAATTGAACGCCGACGATTTGGCAGTCTAATTCGTCCGCTAGGGGGCGCCTTCGCTAAGCTGTTGACTAACAGAATTGCAATTCGGGTGCACTAACATAGGTGTGCAAGAAATACTCTCTGCCACCCAAATTGTATACTAGTTTTGATATGTTATACTACTTTTAGAATATCCTTTTTTTTTAAATTGTTATACATTGAAACAAACAATGCAAAGAAAATAACAAAAAGCGGTTCCATTTTATGCATTTATTTGTTTCGATTAAGTTCCACGATAAGTAGAATAACCAAAGGGGTTCAGTAACAAAGGAATATGATAGTGTTGATTTTCACTGCAGTCCACAATTATGTCAATAACTGGATACAGAGTGTTGACATTCCGCTCCGCGAAATAGGCTCCCACATGAAAGGTAAGCTTGTAGATCCCACTCGGAAATTGACCAGGCTCCAAGAGAAGGCAACGACCATCCGCATCAGTTTGTGCCGCCCGAAGGGGTTTCCACTCCTGGATCTCATCCAACCGGGAAACTGTTACTCTGACACTGCCGGCCGCCTTGCCAACGGAAGTGTCCAGTATATGAGTAGAAAATTTGCGTGCGTCCATTCTGAGAGCAATCCGAAGACTGAAGATCGTTTCATATAAGGAAAGCTCCAGTGAATAACACATGTTATCTAAATCTCTGATTTAATTTTGCATTAAGATGGAATACTCGTATTAAGATAAGCAAGGATGACAGCAAGATAAGAAAAGTCTCGTTACATCCATAAATTAACTCAGTTTAAATAATTATTAAAAGCAAGAAACAAGCGAGAGAGAGAGAATGAAAAACAATTTAGTTATTGTTTCATTCTGTTTAAATTCGTTAACATTAATGTTGTTATAAATAAAAACAAAATAAATAAGAAATTAAACAGTTAAATTCCTGTCAATTAAACTTTCTAGTATATTTTACCATTAATATATTTGGTAAGCCACGGTCACTCTATCTTCCTCGTTTGAACTGCACGTGTTGACTATTTCGTTCGGTGGCTTAAACCTTTTTATAACATTTCCAAATAATGGCTGAAGAAGGACCTCCCGAGGCAAGCATAGACTTTGTGCCCGCACTGTGCTTTGTGCCACGGGGCGTGGCCAAGGACCGTCCCGACAAAATCGTACTGACGCATGAGGAGCTAGCGAGGATTATCGGCGACACGCAGCAGGAATTGGATGAGGAGAGCGACGATGAAGCGGTGGAGGGCGCTGACGCCGATGGCATGGATGTGGATGACCACGAGGATGCCAACAGTGAAAACCGCAATCCCCAAGACGAATATCAGTTCCAGGAGTACGACAACGAAGAAAATGCCACAGTCACTAGTCTAGCCAACATTGTAGATGCCGGAGAACAAGTTCCCGATGAGGACGAGGATTCTGAGGCTGAGGACGAGGTGATCAAGCCCAGCGACAACCTGATTCTTGTGGGCCACGTCCAGGACGACGCTGCATCCATGGAGGTTTGGGTGTTTAACCAGGAAGAGGAGGCTCTTTACACGCACCACGACTTCTTGTTGCCCAGCTTTCCGCTCTGCATTGAGTGGATGAACCACGATGCGGGAAGCGACAAGGCGGGCAACATGTGCGCCATCGGCTGCATGGATCCCATTATCACCATCTGGGACTTGGATATCCAGGACTCCATTGAGCCCACCTTTAAATTGGGCTCCAAGGGCAGTCGCAAGCAGAACAAGGAGCAGTATGGACACAAGGACGCCGTGCTGGATCTGTCGTGGAACACCAACTTCGAGCACATTCTGGCCAGTGGCTCTGTGGATCAAACGGTGATCCTGTGGGACATGGACGAGGGACAACCGCATACCACCATCACTGCCTTCGGTGAGAAGGTTCAGTCGCTGGAGTTCCATCCCACAGAGGCACAGAGCATCCTGACCGGCTGTGCCGATGGATTTGTGAGGCTCTTCGATTGCCGCGATGCCGATGCGGTTAACTCGTCCAGCGTCCAATGGAAGGTCAAAGGAGAGGTTGAGAAGGTCCTGTGGCATCCCACCCAAAATGACTACTTCATTGTGGGCACCAACGACGGTAGCCTTCACTACGCCGACAAGCGATCGCCCGGCCAGGTGTTGTGGTCCATCAAGGCGCACAACGAGGAAATCTCCGGGGTGTGCTTCAACAGCCAAATGCCCAACCTACTGACCTCCACCTCCACGGAGGGGACTCTAAAGGTGTGGAACTTCAACGGCACGGAGGCGAAGCACGTCTACGAGCACGAGTTCAACATGGGTCGCCTGCAGTGCATGCGCCAGTGTCCGGAGGATCCCTACACCCTCGCTTTTGGCGGCGAGAAGCCTCCGCGATGTGCGATCTTCAACATCAAGAACTCGGTGGCCGTTCGCCGGACGTTTGGCATCGCGGATGCCGAGTAGTTAATGCTTTTAGCTGCGTATTCATTGGTGTATATGCTTTGTATGACTTTTAAATAAATATTATATTATAAGGATCCGAAAAACCCACTGCTTTTCTTGATTAACATTTATTGATAAGTTGTGAATCCCTTAAATGCTAAACATTTTCGCTTAAAAGTATAAGACATTCTAGATGAATAGTACACAAAATGGTTAAAAAATGTTCCGAGCATTACCTTAAACTAATTTACGTATATCGACTTAGCTAAACTGTGATCCTAACTCTTGAAGAGGCCCACGCACATGAGGAGATTGCGACGCGTAAAGTGCAGGGTAACGAACGGCGAATTCTTGCTGGGGAACGTGCGCATAAGGTAGACATCCTCGTCGTTCTCATCCTGGTGGTGCGACACAGTAATGTGATTGCTGATATAGTCCTCAGTGACCTTGTGAAAGTCCCACAGAGTCAGGTTGTTATCCAAGCCAGCCGCCGCCAGAACAGTTCCATCGCGACTGAACGTAATTGTGGACACGGTGCTGGTGTGCCTAAGCAGTGTGGTGACCAGTGCTCCGCTTGATAGATCCCAAATGATGATGTTGTGGTCCACTGATCCGGAGGCGAGATACCTTCCGCAGGCGGAGAAGGCCAGCGAACTGACCGATCCCTTGTGACCCGTCATCAGGCGCACCGACTGACCCGTCATATTGTCCCACAGGCGCACCGTGCGGTCACTGGACCCGGTGGCCACATAGTTGGAGTTCGGATGAAATTGCACGCAATCCACGTCCGACAAGTGGCCCACGAAAACGCGCAGAGCTTGGTTCGAATCCGTGGCCCACAGGCGAGCAGTTTTGTCGTAGGAGCAAGATACAAAGTAGTAACCGTGCGGAGCAAAGCGCACATCCCACACTGGATAGACGTGCCCCCGGTAGGTGACCACGCAGGACCAGGTGAGCAGGGACCACAGTCTTATGGTGCTGTCCTCAGAGCACGAAAGCAACAGGTTCATCTCGGGGGCAAAGGCACAGCGGTACACGGGTCCGGTGTGGCCCAGAAAACTTCTGGTCACCTCGCCGCTTCGGTCGTCCAGCATACGCACGTTGATATCCGCCGACTCCTTGTCCAGTTCCCGCAGCGCATCCGCATCCTTAAGGGCCCGCAGCTTGGCGGGCGTTAATGACCATATCCTTACGCTAGAGTCTCCGAATCCGCAGGCCAGCATCGTGGAATCATCGGATATCTCGGCACAAGTGACGCCCTGGTGAGAGTTCAGCACCGTGTAAAAAACAGCGGAGGGCAGTTGATCCTTGCTGAGGGCCAAACGCTTGCTGGCTTCTCTAAGGGCTTTCAGTTTCAGTAACTTGTCCGAGTCTTTGAGTTCTGGCAGCGGAATCCTGTCGATGGCTGGAGCATTCGGATCAGATTTCGACTTCTTCGATAGTAGAGGATCCTTTTTGGGTTTTTTCTTTTTGGGACGATCTGGGGCATCTGGGTCGTCGTCCTCCTCTTCTGGCGCCGGCGCTGGTGTGGTTAGAGTTTGAAAGTCTACCTCTTTGAGCAGTCCGTAGTACACCCGCATCTTGTTGTCCTGCCTCTTGGCCTCGCCGATGTGAGAGCCCGCTGTGGCGACGCACTGCAGCTTGTTGCGCGCCATGCCCTCGTAGGTGTCAAAGTGCAAATACTTAGACACAATATCCGCTACCACCTCTTGTCGGCGATCCTGGATGTGGCGCTTGAAAAGCGAATGTGAGTCCCTGGACATGCGGATCACAAACTTGTCTTGCTCCATGGCGGCCACCAGGTCGTTCTCCAGCAGCTCCTCCGGCTTGGACAGCAGCAGTAGGTTGAACAAACCCTCTATGTAGTACCCGTCGAGATCGGATTTATACCTCTCAATGAAATCTTTGGCCTTTTCTCTCAGTCCGCTGGCTAGCATCTTGAAGTAGATTTGCACCAGAATGGGGTACAGCACCATGGACAACTCGTGCTTGTATATGTCCAGGGAATCCTCCACGAAGGTGCGCAACTCCATGTAGGCCTGCTCGTAGTGCCCGGCATCAAAGCTGTCGTCGCCAATGAACTTGGCCAGCGCCTCCGCGGCATTGGCCTCCGTCACGGCAGATTGTTTGTGATCCTGGACCGGAGCAGAGGCATTCTTGCGGTCCCGAGTGGGATCTCCCAATCCCAGAGCCGCACTAAGGACCTGCTGGACATCCGCTTCGCTGATCTCCGACAACTCCGCACTGTTCACATTCGCCTCCTGACATAGCAGCTCCTCCGTGCTCTTCAACTGGTACTTCTTGATAAGTTTCAGCAGGCACAGCAACTCACGCTTGTCGTGAGCGGTTTGGGTTCCATTCCCGCCGTTGATATTGCTCATTTCCAGACTCATTTATGCGGAGAATAAAAAAAATGGGAAACCTGTACTATTTTGTTTTGCATCAAAGTGTGGCCAGCTTTAAAAACAGCAAAAATACTCGGCTGAATTGGTAAATAAACTTAAATATACTAAAAATTATTGTTATAAAGATAAATTGACTCTAGAATATTGTTTTAAACAACACCATTGCATTCTAACATAAATTTCAAGTGAATACAAGAACAACACCAAGGAAAACATTAAGACACCTTGTTGTTTATGTTACTAGTCACCAAAGTTAGTCCCATAAGAAATCTGCAATTATCAAGAGTTTACTGTAGCCGGTTTCAGGGCTGCCATAATACTTTTGGTATTTTTCTGAATATTTTTGTTACCTGAACCAAAACATTCGTAATGAAGAGGAGAGTAATCATAAAAAAGGTAAAATCTAACGTAACAATGCGAATAAAATGATTTATTGTCAACGAGGGTAAAAATATGCTGTGCATTAACTGGATTAAATTGCTATTGCTAATTTCAGTGTACTTGTCTGGCGCCCACCCCCCAAACTCCTTGAACTTTGACACCGCTTCTCGATATTAACCCTTGTACTTGTTGCTTACTGTTGTGTTTTGTCCAAAGTTTTGTAAAATATGAATGAAAATGATGCTGCGGTAGGTCAACAACTAACACATCAACACCGTTAGCTAATTTCGTTTTCGATTGGCACAGAAAAAGGTCGTGGGCAAGCGGAATTCGGTCTCGTTTGATCAACAGGATCCCGGAGAACCGAGATACAGCTTTTCCGGACGCATTCAGGAACTGATCGAGGGATACAATTCCGCCGTACAGTTGCTGGCGCCTAAGTGGCCCTGGTACCTCTATCCCGGATATCTGACATACGCCGTATACTGGCGCTACGCCAAATATTACAAGGGCAAATTGTTGCTGACCCCCATTCCGAATGGGCTATATGATCTGCTCATCAAGAACGAGCTGATCAAGTCGGAGCACTTGGTTTTCGCTAGTCGCGATGTGTACGATACTTATGCGGAGTCACCGGACGTCAATTTTGTAAACTTGGTCATCCGCGGAGGAAGGACTAAGATCTGTAAAACCGATGGGGGTTCCACAACTCAAACGGTCATTAAGCAAATGCTTCAGGAGGCTCCACATACGATTGTGGCCCAGATTCTGCCGGTGACCCAATGTCAACCCAATTGTCTGTATGTCCAGGTGAGTACACGCACAATTCTTTATAGCAAACTTTAAGGATGTACAATATAATTGTGTTTCAGGAAAACTTCTATGGCAACATACTGGACCGCTTTGGAATCAGTTCCAACTGTTGGGTGCAACTTGACCACTTTGCTGATGAGCAGACCATACCCGGCATAGCCACCAAAGCCCATGTATATTTGCTAGCTGATCCTCACGAACTGCCAGCCGAACTGACGGAGATTATCCTTAACAACTACTTTAATACCCCGCGACTTTTGCATCGTGGTCATATTTACCGAATCGAAGTTAACGCCGAACTTTTGGGCACAGCAACATACGCCCATTATTATTTGATTTTTGCCAACCTGCGCCATGTTCACTTAAAGTGCATTCACCTAGAGACGAAGGGCAGTGAGTTCGAGTTGCAGGCAGTGGTGGCAAAGAACTTCAGCAATCTGATTCAAGTACCAGCATCTCACAGTTTTCTGCCTCGCCAAGTGCTCGACAACGTGGCTATCGTGGAAAACTATCCTAGTGGACTGAGGAAACCCTATAAATTGCTACGCTCTTCCGTGGATGCCTTCCTGCCCAAGAAGTCGGAATGTCTATCCTCAAAGCACATCTTTCCTGTTTTCCTGCTGCAGGGTGAGCGCGGATCTGGTAAATCCAAACTTGTAAATGCCGTAGCCCAGGAGCTAGGCATGCATATTTATGGTGCGGATTGTGCGGAGATTGTTTCACAGGTTCCTTCGCACACGGAGATGAAGCTAAAGGCGGTCTTCGCTAAAAGCCAAGTCAGTGAACCACTCTTGATTTGCTTCCACAACTTCGAGGTAAACGGAATTAGCACAGCTCAATCTTAAAAGACTTTCATGACTCTGCTTTACAGATCTTTGGAATAGACAATGAGGGCAACGAGGACTTGCGCCTGCTGTCCGCATTTCATGTGCAGGTGCAAGAGCTCTTTAACCGTGATCGGAAGCACCCAATTGTGGTGGTGGCTTTGACCAGCGATCGGCACCTTAAGCCCATGATCCAAGGTCTCTTCCTGGAGATCATCAGCATTGATATGCCCAGTAAGCAGGAGCGTTTTGAGATCCTTCGTTGGATGCACGTGCGAGAGACTTTCAACGACGTCATTCACAATCAGAAAGCCATCGATGACTTGCCCTTGTTCTCGCGTGAAAATCAGTGCCAGTTTATGTCGCGCGTCTCTTCCAGCTGGCGGGAAACACTCAATGTACTGCAGGATGTGGCGGCCAAGTCACAGGGATTTTTGTTGGGCGACCTGCAGTTGCTCTACGACAGTGCAGTTCGAATGAAGATTCGCAAACGCTTGGGCAGATCCACTCTGGACATGTCCCACTTCGCTCAGAACCTCACTGACATGCAGAGCTCCTTCGCCGACAGTTTGGGAGCGCCCAAGGTGCCGAAGGTCTATTGGTCGGACATCGGTGGTCTGGCCAAGCTGAAAGACGAGATCCAAAGCAGCATAGGCTTGCCGCTCAAGCATGTCCATCTTATGGGCAAGAACCTGAGAAGATCAGGCATCCTGCTTTACGGACCTCCAGGGACTGGCAAGACCCTGGTCGCCAAGGCTGTGGCCACCGAATGCAACCTGAGTTTCCTTTCCGTTCAGGGTCCCGAGCTGCTTAACATGTACGTGGGCCAGAGTGAGCAAAATGTGCGCGAGGTCTTTTCTCGTGCTCGATCCGCTGCTCCGTGTGTGCTCTTTTTGGACGAACTGGATTCCCTGGCCCCCAATCGAGGAGTGGCAGGCGACTCTGGTGGCGTTATGGATAGGGTAGTATCACAGCTTCTTGCCGAGATGGATGGAATGAGCGATGGCGACACCAGCAAGCCAATCTTCATACTGGCCGCCACAAATCGGCCGGATCTTATTGATCCCGCCCTTTTGCGTCCCGGTCGGTTTGACAAGCTCTTCTACGTGGGACCCTGCTCCACGGCCGATGACAAGGCTGCCGTGTTGCGAGCCCAAACCCAGCGATTCGCTCTGGAAGCCGGCGTGGACATGGACCAGATTGCAGAGCGTTTGAAGAGTGAAATGAGCGGCGCAGATCTATACTCTATTTGCTCAAATGCATGGCTATCAGCCGTAAGACGCACTATAGATAAACACTTAAGCGGAGCAATTACAGAAAAGGAACTGCTTCCGGAGAACGTGATCGTGGAGGCGGAAGACTTCACCAAGTCGTTCAACAAATTCGTGCCCTCTATAAGCACTAAGGATCTGGAGTACTTCAACAACCTAAAGGCGTCGTACAGCGTTTAAAGCTTTCGAAGATGGATAAAAAAAGAGTTAAAGTTTTTATAATTTAGTTTTTTATAGTTTTGAATTTGAAATTAAACGTTTTTTTTATTTATAGCTGTTTTTTTGTATAGGTTCTTAATTTTGAAATAAATGCGAATCTTTAAGTAACATTTTTTTATATCTAAATTAGCATCTATTGATAGTTTCTCCTTTACATTTTTTGTTATACTAAAATAATCTGAAACGACATGTGAAAAAACAATTGCATTCATAAATTGTACTCCTTGCTCGAGCTTTCGACAGAAATTGCAGCCGACGAGACTACCTTGTATAATTGTACCATGGCACAGTGGTCGGTCTTGTATGAAGAAGGCGGCCAAAAATTGTATCCAGTAGGAATATCGACTTGAAATTTTTTTTGTAGATATATAATAGCGTATGAATATTATAAGTATTTTAAGTATCAGCACCATTAACGCCAAATATATCCATCATGTTTACCATAAAATCTTTAAAATTCGACTCCCAAATGCACACTACACTTTTTATTAAAGCGTTACTGACAAAAATTATATTTAAAAAACACTTAATTTTGGTTACAAAATTAACAAAAGATAACTTAAAACGATGATTAACATAAATTTAAAGTAATATAAAATAAATTTGTTAATACAAATTAGAAATGGTTACTCTAGAAAATCAAAAACTGATGAAACACGAACGAGGCACTCGTCTTCTTTAACAGATTGTGAACGGATTAGCAAATCTCCGCAGCTGATTTTTACAGATAACACTTATTAAATATTGATTAATATTTTTAAAAAAAATTCATTAGTGAACGATTTTGGCAACACAACTTTAACCTTTGTAGAATATTGATGTTTAGTTTCGCAGAACTTGAAAAATTGCGGTGGATAAACACTTATTGTTATAGTCACATTTAGCATGCAAAATTAATAAAAATGATAAAAACCACAATCTACAAACCTTCAACTTTAATATTCATTTCACTTTCGGATTTTAAACGATTGTTTTTTAACAATTAACTTAACGATTTCAAAAGTCATACGCACGCTTACAGTTGATCGATTGGTTTGCGCGCTCACTTTGCGCCCCAATTTCTCCGCGAATATGTGGAGCAAGACAAAACTAATGATTGCTTTTAAAGCCTAGTTTTATTGATAAACAAATGCGCCAAACTTGAAATCAAAATTCCAAAATTGATTTTTTGATTTTTGGCCTATGGGACCGACCACTGTGCATGGTTAAATAGTTCTAAAATTGCGTTTTTTTACAGAAATTTTCCGTAGGTTTTCAATAAACCCGTTGATATATCACAACTCCCAGCGAGATTACACTCGTTAAAGTCTTTTCCAATCGAAAACCTCGCATGATATAAAAACTGGCTTGTGCGAGGTTGACATTCAATAAACTGTAAGAAAGAAGAAGGTAAACAAATACAAAAGTAACCTTGGCCCTGCCGAAACGAAATTGGGATCTTATCAGATAGCCCTCGATCTGACTGAAAACTGCGTCTTGCCATTAGAATTATCTTTGCGGGAAACTCTGCTCAATCATCTCGGTAAGAGTGGGGGTCTCTTATCGGTTTCACCCGGCACACACCCTGCTTATCGCGATCCCTTGGTGTTTAGTCGCAGGCCAGGCAAAAGCAGTTGATGCTGATTCCTAATCTCATTGAGTTTATTTCAAGTCCGGGAGGTGCGGCGAGCGGTATTGCAAAATATAGAATATTTCCATTCTCCTGTTACGTAACAAATATGGCTTTGGTGTGTGTGGAGGATTTTGAGAAGAAGGCCGCTGGCCAGCTGGAGAAGAATGCTCTGGATTACTACCGCAGTGGAGCTGGTGAGCAGTTCACCCTGGGATTGAATCGTGATGCGTTCCGCCGGCTGCGTCTGCGTCCTCGCTGCCTGAGAGATGTATCCCGTCTGGACACCAGCTGCAAGATTTTCGGGGAGCAGATGAAGTGGCCTCTAGGCATTGCTCCCACTGCCATGCAAAAGATGGCCCACTCGGATGGCGAAATAGGCAATGCCAGGGCAGCCGGTAAAGCTGGCTCCATCTTCATACTCAGTACGTTGTCAACCACTTCTATAGAGGACCTGGCAATCGGTGCCCCAGACACGATCAAGTGGTTTCAGCTGTACATCTACAAGAATCGGTGAGATCCTGCTCCTCCTACAAATTTCTTTACCACTTATCTTTCTGCTTTTAGTGCTAGTACTGAAAAACTAGTGCGCCGCGCGGAGCAAGCGAACTTCAAAGCCCTTGTTCTGACCATCGATGCCCCTATTTTTGGACACCGCCGTGCCGATGTGCGCAACAACTTCAGCCTGCCCTCGCACTTGACACTGGCAAATTTCCAAGGCGAAAAGGCCACTGGAGTAGGTAATGTGATCGAGGGCGCCTCGGGAATCAATGAATACGTGACCAGCCAGTTTGACCCAACCATTACCTGGAAAGATATTGCCTGGCTGAAGAGTATCACCCATCTGCCAATTGTGGTAAAGGGTGTACTAACTGCAGAGGACGCTGTGTTGGCCAGGGAGTTTGGATGCGCTGGACTTATCGTTTCGAACCACGGAGCCCGCCAGATCGACACGGTTCCGGCCTCGATTGAAGCCCTTCCGGAGATTGTAAAAGCCGTGGGCGAGGATCTCGTGGTTATGTTGGACGGAGGCATCATGCAGGGCAACGACGTCTTTAAGGCTTTGGCTCTTGGAGCCAAGACTGTCTTCGTGGGTCGTCCGGCTGTTTGGGGGCTGGCCTATAATGGCCAAAAGGGTGTGGAGGAGATGCTGAGTGTCCTGAAAAAGGATTTCGAGATCACCATGTCGCTGATTGGTTGCCAATCTCTGAGGGATATCACACCGTCAATGGTGGCGCATGAAAGACAATATGCCAAGCTATAAAAACGGATCCCATTTAGACAAATAAACCTTATCGTAGTCATCGTTATAACCCCAATGTAACCGTCAATAAAAATACAAATAAAGATAACTGCACGTTAGACATTTAGTTAAACAAAGATCTGAACCTACTTTGGAAAATGCATTAAGACGTTTTATGAAATAAATAGATAGTAAAAAACTTAAAAAAATAGTTAACAAAAAACTTTACAATATTAACATGTGTTGTTTAAAACCTCTGTCCACTTTTTAAATTTAAATTCGAACGGTATTTGAACGGTAATCAGCCAAGGTGATAGCACCACTATCGATAAATTTACAGCGTTGTCAGCTATCGCCAGACCCCCACCCCTGAGGGGCATGTATACGAGAAGAAAATTGGCAAAAGTTAAAATCTTTTAAAGCAAAATGCTCGAGGGCTGGTACTGTAGATCCCTGGCCAACCAAGAGGAGGGCGCCATTAAGGACGAGCCCCCAAGCGACGATGAGCCAACACAACCTGCCAGTGATCGTGTGCCGGCGATTTCCCGTGGAGGCATACCCGCTAGCTCGTCCACTGTTTCGGCGGGACTTGGAGCGAACGAAACGGACTTTAAGGAGCGCTACAAGAACCTAAAGAAGAAGCTAAAGTTTCTCATCTATGTAAATATTTAAAGTTGAACTTGGTTAACGGCAAGTCACAGCTTTTTGTGTTTACAGGAGAACGAGTACTTTCAAGATCTATTGCACACAAACCAGCGTCGCCTACTGAAAGTTTCTCGCGATCGCACCTTTCTACTGGACCGCCTCCTGCTGTACGAGAAGCCAGCGAAGGACTCCAGTGATTCCGATGCCACCGATAGTTCCGATTCGGAACCAGCGTCGACTTCCGGAGCTGCCGGAGGATCACAGACGCCCAAGGATGTTATGCGCAGAAAGCACAAGGACAAGGGGGCCCCTGGAATTCAGGGAGTGCCCCCGCACATGCCCACTGTGGGGGCAACTCGAGGACGTAGGCGCAAAGTATTGACCGGGATGATCCCCTCGAATCATGGAATCCAGGCAGCTCCTGCTGCCAAAAGACAACTGACTGCCACCGTTTCCCCTTCGCAGCAGCAACTCCAACTACAGAGTGCACCCAAGGATGTATCGCCTGGTTTGAGCCAAGCGGAGATCGCTCGCCAGCTACAAGAGCGACGACCTACGCCCCTGGAGCTCATGAGTCCGGAATGCACCTCAGCTACTGTGCCCACTACGATGCTCAGCGATGAAAGCCCCTCCAAATGGTAAGTAATTGTACATTTCCGAGAAGTAATTTACATTTATTGGAGTAGTTTTTCTAGCTATCCCAATGAGAGTCTACAGCATCTAATGGAGGACGACTCACATTCGCATGAGGTAGCCGCCGAAGAATGCGTTCCAATGGAGTACACCAGTTAATATTTACATAAATTTTATACTTTGTCTTAGCTAATAAATCTACTAAAAATCAAACTGTTTGAAAATTTGAATACATGGGTGGTCTAACAATGTACATATTAATATTTTGAGAGTGTACAATCATATAGTTGGTATAGTTTTGCTCAGATTTCGGGTGGACTTTCCCAGAATATTCGAACAGATGTTGACCATATTTTATGTGGGCAAATAATTAGATACATACATATAGAGTATTATTCGATTAGTTTTTTTTAAATAAACTCTAATTTTTAAATTCGTTAAAAAATAGTTTAAAATAAAATTATATATTTGAAATGGTTATAATGTTAATTAGATGTTTTGTTTACTTCTTTAAAATGTTCGCGTCCGAATTAAATTAAATTAAATTACTAAAAAAATAAATTCCGCCTTGTCTAAAAAACAAATATTAGTTGAATAAAAAATGTAATACAGATAGTATATCCAACTTTAGTAAGTAATTATTAAAATTAAGTATACGCCTAAACAGCCGAATTAGTCAGAGCGCGAAATAATTACGTTATCGATAGTCGCTGCCAATCGACCGGACCTGCCAACCTTGTCGCGAAAAATCCAGTGCGGTACAACCCTGTCTTGCTAATTTATTTCGACGCGACGCGAGTGAAGAAAAACAATTGAATTTCTTTTTGTTTAATCGTGGAGAATCGTGGCTAGTTAGCAGAAAAACCCATCTTTAAGACACCAGGCGAGACGGGCGCCACCAGATGATCAATTCGTGAACAATGGCGCTGCTCAAGAGGAAAATCTTGCACTCGGCCGCAAATTCGGGCGCCGAGGTGGACTACAAGTTTTCTTGTCGGTGCTGTTTGAAGACGGATGTGGAGTACCTAAAACTGGACTCGGTGTCGGTGGCGCGCAGTCTGGATCCAGCGGATAAAGCGGACAAGATTCCGCTTCTCCGTTGCTTGCTTTATTGCGTGAGCGCCGAGAACGCCCCGGAGCTCCCGCAATACATATGCATTGAGTGCAGTAAGAGCCTTCAGGTGGCCTACTATTTCCTGAAGAATGCGCAGCGGGCCCACGAGATCCTGTGCAGGAAACTGTGCCCTAAGGGTGTAAAGAGATTGAATGGCACCTTGGCCCAAGAGCCGGAGAAAAAAACAGGAGATTATGCCCTCGAAGAAGTAAGATCGCCACAAAGGGTCATAAGTACAATCTAAACTTTACTTTCCTTTCGCTTCTAGACGGAGGCGGAGATGAGGCCCATGAAAACCATGCGCCATGAATGCCAGGTGTGCGGAGTGGTGCTCTACAATCGTTTGGAGCTAAAGCAGCACATACGTCAGCATGCAGGTAAAAGTTATCCCTAAACCCAACAATGATTCACATAATCACCGGACTAACATTGTCTTCCAGAGGGAATCTCCTACAACTGCAAGTTGTGCAGCCTTGTCACGCTGAAACAACGTGTTTTACTGGAGCACTACATGACCAACCATGGCTTGTCCCCTAGGCAGGCGGAGGAGCATATGAAATTAAAGAATCTGCCAGCAAGCAAGGACGAAGAGCCCAAGCCAGTGTGTACACTGGAAGACATGGAACTGCTGATACCCACAGTTCTAACGCCAGATGACTATGCGCAGCCACTGCCAGCGATAGATCCTGAGCAGCTGCGCGACATCGAGCAGCAACTGGCCGTCAGCATGGGTGAGACGGCGCCGGGAGTCGATACACTCACTTCCACCTTGCCACCGATGGACACGCCCAATATGAGCATCGGCACCGAGTACCTTGTTCTCCCCGATGGCTCGCTGCAGCAGGTCAACGGAAGCGGTGAGTTAAACCTTATAGAAGTTCCTCGCAAAGAATGTGCACTTAATTTAATCTCCTGCAGGCGTGGTCATAGAGTATATTGACGATAGCAAGCCGAGCAATCCCTCCAATATCAATATTAGCCTGCATAACCTTCTGTCCAGTAGTAATGAAAACGAAGGGATAGATATGGATGTCAATGAGCTGATAGTAGAGGAAACAATGCCGCAGATAAGAAGTAAGATCTTTTTGCAACACTTGAAACATTCTTTTAACATATCCTCTACCGCCTTTAGTCAAACCAAAGCCAACCATTGGCGGATCGCCCATTTACAAGCACAAGTGCAAACTTTGTCCCAAAACGTTTTCCACTGTGGCGCGCCTTAAATCTCACCAATTGACCCACAGCAGTAAGTTGGTTTCACTTACTTTGATACCTGGTTCATGGCTTATACGATGACTAATTACTAAACCTTTTGCTTCAAACAGACTTGCCCAAGTTCTTCTGCGACCAGTGCGATTTCTACTCGCTGCGAAGCGCCGATCTCATTCAGCACTACAAGATGGTTCACCATCGCTCAGATGAAAACGGCAGGAGCGGCAATAACACAGCACTGGGCGGTGATTCGCGCGTATACTCGTGCGACTTGTGCCTCTTTGAAACACACACTCCCCTTCAGCTAAGGTCTCACTACACGGAGCTGCACAAGATTCAGACGACGGAAGTGCAACTGCGTCCGAGTTGGACGGGTGAGGCAGGAGCCAGCTCGGTGCGAACTGCAAGGAATACTGTTTCTTCCAAGGAACAGCTGGCGGCCAGGAGATCAGACCAAGTCAACATCCCTGTGAGCATTAAATGTGAGTCTTGAGATCGTTATAACCAGGGAATTCGAACTGGATTCACCTTTCGTCGGTATTTCGCAACGCTATGAAATAGTTCGCAAATGAAAATTCTGGTTATTCATATAATTTGTTGGTATTTTAAATATGATTTAATTATCACTGAGTTGATTATTAGATATTTAATTTTTCGTTAGCTTTTCCACAACGAATTATGTTAAAATCACCATTTTTTTTTATTATTTCGAGTGTCATAATGCGTTTTTTTATTATATTTTGTTTATTTTCTCATTGGTTAAATCATTTGGCGGTCATATTCCGACAAACATAATCTAATCTTACAAAGTATTAAAATAATGTAAATATTAGAGAATAGAAAACAACGCTTTTCAATTGTTTACAATCAGTTTTACACGCCAATCCTCCACAACAATGTTCTTTCTAATGTATCGCATATATCAAGGCAATGCCGTTTTTTAACTAGTAAATCGGAGCTCAAATCATAATGGCATTTAGTCTTTGGCATTCAATAGCGGGTAGGATTTTGGGGATTCTCTTTAGCCAACGCGTTGATGACACTCCTAACTAGTTCCAAAGAGGTTGTGGCTTCTAATCCATATTGATAAGAGCAAAAACTGCTGCAAATGGAGGGATTGTGATCACAATTGTTGACTTTCGGTAAGGACGAAAACAGGATCCATGCATCTCAATTTCGTAGATTTATTTATGTGAGTTTTCGTGATTTTTTTCAATTCATCTAGCCTGCCTAATTGTATTTTTGAATTATTTTGTGTGTATTTAGTTGAATTCCCTGGTTTAAGTTTAATATTATTCCCAAGTGGCATGTTTTTGATGTATTTTTTTGTAGATCCGACAATTGTTGCGCAAACACAGGTACCAGTGCAACAACCGGAGCCAATGGTCAGTACACCAACGACCATCACGCAAACGGGGGGACTCAACGTGTTGGTGGATACCACGCCGCTATTCTATGCGATGACCCAAAATTCGACGGTGGTGACCAATTCGATTCCAGGGACAGCGGATGTGGAATCCAGTACAGAGGCCAACAACAATGCATTTGAAATCTTTCCGGAAATCTCAGAGGGCAACCTGCCAGTGAACGATTCCGATCAGCAAATTCCAGCCTCTACGGCTAACATCTCGATAATGCCAATGAACGAATCCGTTCAGCAAACTTTAGCTAATGCGTCGAACACTTCGATGTTGCCTGTGAACGAACCCGTTCAGCAAATTCCAGCAAATGCGTCTAACACTTCGATATTGCCAATGAACGAATCCGTTACACAAATTCCAGCAAATGCGTCAAACATTTCAATGTTGCCTGTGAATGAAACCGTACAGCAAACTCCAGCTAATACGGCAAACATTTCAATTTTTGGGGACATGCAGGAATTTATTGACAACACCGATGTGGCTGCGATATGCACCATTCCCGCGGATGACATGCCCGTTGTTGATGGTGATGACATTGTGATCGATAATAACAACATCAGTCTGGACTTTGATGCTGAGAATTTGTTTGAGGAGTTTGAGGAGGAGGAAGATGCGGTCGGAGAAGAGGAGGAGGAAGATGACAACGATGACGAGAATGATAACAATGACGCCGCTACGGATCAGAATCTGCTGCTAACCAGCGACGATGATGATGTAGACGACTTTGATGACGAGCAATCGAAGCATTTGCAGAAGCCATACTGCATATACTGCAACAAAAAGTTTACCAGCCAGTATAAGTTCGAAAATCACATGTTTGTCCATCGGGGTGAGTCGGCTGAGTCACGTAGCTCGTGTAACATAATACTCATTTATCTGTTTTTGACTTCAGGGTTGGCGCCATATCGGTGTGAGCTGTGTACCAACCTTTACAACTTGAAACGATTGCTGATCAGGCACTACAAATCGGTACATAAACGGATGCCGACGAGGGATATGGTTCAGGCCAAGGGCGATAAGGTTTCCGTAGCCCGCTCCAACATTGAGAAGCTCTATCCTGGCAAGATGAAGAGTAAGCTAAAAAGCCACTTAAATCCGTACACCTTTAACAATGTTTACCTATTTGTAGAGCCCATGCTGATGTGCGCAAAATGTCCGTTTGAGTGCGAAGCGGATGCGGAAATGAAGAAGCATTTAAATGCCCACCACGGCATCAATGATGGTGGTAAGTTTCACTGACTTCAATCGATTTTACGTTGATTTCATCAATACTAATTTATATATTACATCTATTTTTCCTTTCAGTGTCCGTGCATGCAAACGAGGTGTTTATTATACGCAGTAAGTAAACCTTTTCACTCGCTAACACAATTTTGTATTATAACTCATGTCCTGTAAAACTAAAACTTCCTTAAACTTTTTTAGAACTACCTTTTGAGTGCCCGCGCTGCATTCGCTCATTTGCGGCCAAGAGCACCCTCAGCCGCCACCTGCAGCGCAGTCACTTGGTGGACACGATCATTGAGATGCCAACGCCGCAAACGGCGGACAGCACCACAACAGCAACTTCAACGGCTACAAGTTCCGAAACGGAGAATCCGGTCCAAGATGATAACAAACATATTGTGATGGTACAGACGGACGGTGGGGCTGAGAGGATGACAACTGATGCTTCAGGCAATAGCGTTGGCAATGGTAAGAGCCTCAATAGCCTTGCAAGATTGAACTCAAATTCCCATTCCAACTATGCCCAAAATACGCCAACGCGCAATTCAATTGATAAACTAAACACGCTGTTGTTCGATGACGAACAATGATCGTTGACTGTTGTTGTTCTCACCAGAAGGAGCGGGCACCGATGATGGATCGTCAATAAAAATGGAATCGGCAATGCCAGAGGAAGAACTTGATCCAGTCACACTGGATGCAGCCACAGCGGTGACGACAACAGCAATAGCAGCCGCAATATCAGCAGCAGCAGCGGCATCTAAGTCATCCGAATCACCCATCACTACAACAACCTCATCATCCAATACCCTTTTTCCCACACCCACACCGTTTGATTTCGATTATGACTTTATGGGGGAAACAGGCCAGCGATCCACTCCCAACCCCCATTCCATTACCAGATCCACTAATATGAATGCTCCGTCCGGGAGCAGCGTGCTTAACGGCAGCGACAAGCTGCTGACCACCGCCGCCCTGGCAGCATCGCCAGTAAAGGGTCTTCGATCCAACACCCGCCTGCCCCGCCACTCCATTTACACGTGCAAGGTGTGCAACACGCCTTTCGACGAGCTGGGCAAGTTGGTTAAGCATGAAACGGAGTTCCACTCCAATACAGAGCCATCGCGCTGGGGCTATCAGCACAAGTGTGCCGTCTGCAATACTTCATACCGCACACTAACGCTGCTCAAGTTTCACATGAAGCGGCACACCAGCCGGAGAATACAGTGCCGGTTATGTCCTAAAACATTTGTGACCAACCAGGAGCTTGACAGGCACACAAAGGGCAAACACGGAAGAGATAAGCCGTTGCGGTGTTCCTTAGATGGCTGCCGCAAGATGTTTGCCTTCAAGCATCATTTGGTTCGCCATCAGAACGCCACGCATCTGGACACACCACACAAATGCCCTGTTTGTGACAAGGAATTGCAGTCCAGGCTACATTTGAAAAATCATATGATCGTGCACAAGGGAGCGGTGTGTATTAAGTGTCCCAAATGTGATCGACCCTATATGCGACCTGGCAGGTAAGCAGTTGACCTGTTTTAATTTGTTTTTCTTCGAAATAATTCGTATTTCATATGTAGACTCCAATCACATGTCCTCAATATTCACAACATCCGCCTGACCGCCGAAGAATTGACTGCCATCACCTCACAGGCCCAGGCCCATCCTCCAACTGATCTGAAGGTAAAGACGCGTCGTAGGGATCTGGATGGGGAAAAGGAAATCCACGACGAGACCGCAGCTGCTGCTGATAATTCCAAGTAGTTCCAAATCATGCTGACAGCAATCAAGCAAAGTAATCGCACAATGTACAAAGTTTGATATAGTCTAGTACTGTTTCTCATCCCCGATTTAGCACATCTAATGTCTTGAATTTTTCATGTTAACTTGTAGATTAATCTTACCCTCTCATATCCTAAGTTATAATGCAAACACAAATTTATCCATCGTTCGATTTTGTATAGCAGATAGCGATGGAATGCTAGAAAATAAACTTTGTTAATGTATTATATTCACCCGAAACTAGGGTGCCCAAATGGCAACATGTAACTTATAGAACCGCCTTAATTGTAATATTTCGAAACAAGCCTCAGGGTGTCATAAATTCCGCATTTTGATTCCCCAGTTATTGAGGCAATCTCCACCAGCTGGCTCTGCTTTGGCCAAAGAGAAAAAGCTTCACAATTAGTCGTAAGCATCCAATATACTGTAATTTTTTTTTTTTCATTGCAAATCGACTCTTTTATGGGTCATGTATTTTATATATTTGCGAGCAATAAATGTCCTTAATAGAATAATATAACCGTATTTAGTTTATTCATTAATCGTGTTTATGCCGTAAACAGATTAGTTATCTCCACGACATTAAAAGCAAAAGATGTAATATACACATTGAAACTATATTAAACTACTTTTAGTTCTAAATTCGACAAAACATATGTAATAAATATTACGGACAATCTACTCATTTAGGTCAAGGAATCTCCTTCTTGAAGTTATTCCACTTCCAGCTCCACTGATTCTCTAAGCTAAGCAACTGCTGATATGATACGTAGTCATCCCTAGCGAACTCCTTTAAGCGGGCCAACTGCACCATGGCCTCGTCAATCGAGTAAATTGGTCCTATTAAACTAACTGGCGAAGGCTCACAGTCATCATCCCTGCTCGTAATGGGTTCACTCTTCACCAGGACTGCCTCGAAATCCTGAACATCCAAACTGTCTCCGGTGGCATTGTAGGCGATGTTGTGTCGCTTCCGCCATTTCTGAAGCCATCCGGAGGATGCCGAAAAGTCGACGTAGCCCACTTCGTCCGCTATTTGCTTGGCCTTTTCGCGGACCATCTCGCCGGTTACAAGGATATTTTCGCTTCTGGCTCCAGAAAACCAGTCGAAGATCAGCTCATCTATGTGGGCACCCTGCTGACTAAGTGGATGTCTTCGCATTTGGTTCATTTTCAGTTCTCCGCTTTTTAATCCTTCCCTGATGACCTCTTTTTGTTTCAAAATATCAGCTGCTTGAGTTTTGCCAATGTTAAACCTAAATAAATTCAAAATAATTACGTATTTCGGCGGATTCAATATGTTACCTTTTCGCGAGATCCCTAACCGTTAGTTTATTGTGCTCTTGGACTTGGATCACTTCCATTTTCTCCTCCAAAGTTAACAATTTTCTAGGTTTCCTGGGTCGTCGCGATGGCATAGTCATTAAAGACAGGGTTATAAATTATGGAAAAACCTTGTCATTTGTCAAAATAACCCAAATTTTGTGTAAAACTACAGAATTTTCTTGTCCGCTCAAGGGAGTGTCCGTCCATATATATGAGCTGTAGTGTGGCCATACATCTCACCACTGCCCGTGGCAGTGGGGTAGACAGTACTTTAACTATAGGCCACTACTTACGTGTTCAAAACATTTCGAACTAATAAATTTTTTAAATTTGGTGCGATACAAACAAAAAATGGCTGACCTACAAACTAGTTTGGCTGTCTGACATTAATTTTTTTAACCCAAACTTAAATGCAAGACCCCTTTGCGGGTACCCCTGAAACTTAAGATACACCATAAAAACAAAAGAGGCCGCCGGTATGGTAACTTTTCGCAAACCCAGGCACGGTCTCACTGTTTTGATCACAAAAGAGCGGTATAAAGCATAAATTGCATTGTTTTTGCGAAAATTCTTTAAAAATAAACAAAACAAACGAATTATCCGGCTGAGGGAAGCATTCCAACCAACCGGAGCGCCATGGACGCTGCCAATCCCGCTGCGGATCCCGCGCTGGTAGCCATGAACAAGCTGAACAAGAGTTCCAAATGCCGAGCATGTCTGTCGGTGGAACGGAAAACCGTGCAGCTGAGCGCCCAGGTCCCCAATCTCCAGAAGTCACGCACCTACGCCCAGAGCCTGAAGCAGTGCACCAACCTGGACCTGCGGGTCATCAGTCCCGGCGGCTACTTGTGGCCCATGCAGATCTGCGTCCGTTGCTGTCGCGCTTTGGAGGTTGCCATGCACTTCGTGGAGATGGCCCTTGAATCGAATCTCAAGCTATACGCCGAGGCCAAGAGCGTGAAGTTACCCAGCCCTACTGGTGAACTGAAGCGAAAGGCCAGCAGCGAGACACTCCACTGGAACCAGTTTAGCCAAGAGTTTGAGCAGTTCGTCGATGGCTACGAAGGGGTATCGACAGGTCCCATTGAAGAGAATGTCCTGTACATGCGAGGAGCCAAAATGCCACGGCTGGATGCCGACGTTTCGGGCAGCAGTAAGCCTCCAAAAGAAGATGAAGGTAGGCTTACTTGCGTTTCATATAATTCTCTACCACAATTTCTTCTAATCCCTTCTTAAAAGTTATCCTTTTCGATGTCAAATACGACACCAACGATCTGGAGGAGGAGGACGAGAATGACGGCTCGGATGCCAAGAACAATGAGACTTTCTTTGAGAGCAGTATTACGTCAGGAGATGGACAAGCCAATACTTCTATTGCCACATCAAAGGGCAACAAAAATGGAGAGAATAATAATAACTACAAAATTAATAATAAAAACGGCAATATGTCTAGACTATCGACGGATGTGGAGGGCGATCTTATACAACGTGCTCTGTACATGACACTGAACGATAATGGCAGCAGCACAAGTCCAACAGGAGAGTCCCACACTGAAACTCCACCTAAGAGTAAGATAATAATCACGTTTTCTTGTGTAATGTAATCATTTATTGCTTGTAGCTAATGGGACAGAAGACCCTTCTTCACTATTAATCCAAGAAGCCACCACTAGCAGTACGATGGCCAATATACCAATTCTAAAATGCAATATTTGCCAATACACTCATACCGGTGCCGAGCAGCTGAGAGATCATTATAAAAGTGTTCACAAAATATCTATGACAGAAGATGATATAATCGGCATAAACAAAAGTAAGTATGTAGCTCCATCCAGTATAATTCTTGCTTAAAAAATCTTTCACCGTAGATCAAAACTTCAAGTGCCGACCTTGTAATAGCTATGAGACGAAAGATAGGAATGAAATGCAGAAACATCTCATTGATCACCATAAAATAGATGGTGATTTTGGTAGGTTTAACGATACTGACCAAGAGATTCTCTTCTAAGCAAATGTATCCACCAGAAATGTACTGCTATATGCAGGCCAACTGTCCGGCTTGTGACAGAATCTTTAAGGATCGGCGGTCGGCCAGGAAGCATTACACTCGGGTGCACACTCAGGTGCAGGTAGTAGTACCTCCCACGGAAACATATGCGTGCAATGTCTGCGAAAAGGTGTTCAACCAGAAGGCCAGCCTGCACAGCCATCAGAGGTTCTGTCAAGTGAAGGATGTCGTACATTGCACCTTCTGCGATCAAGAATTCAGTAGTGTTCGCAAGTACGAGCTGCATCTGCAGCAATTCCATGCCGTGGAGACGCTACACGAGTGCGAAATCTGTCACAAGAGCTTCAAGAACGCCGATACTCTAACCGTGCACCGTAAGCGCCACTCAGAACGTCACTTTCAATGCGACAAGTGCCCGCTGAATTATGTGAACTCAGCGGAATTGCGGGTGCACTATGAACGGGCTCATGTGAGCGAGGAGCAGGTGAGTTGCCTCATCTGCGGCAGCCAGTTCCAAAATATGGCCCTGATGCGCGAGCACGAGCAGAGGAGCCACCAGAAGTCGAAGGTATGGCGCTGTGAAGTCTGCAACTTTGAGGCGAAGTCCAGATGGCATAGGCGTCAGCACCAATTTGAGCACATGGAGTATCCATACAAGTGTCAGAGCTGCCCCTGCGAGTTTACTAATCGCAGCAAGTACGTGGTCAAATTTTATGCATTACCTGGGCTTCATCATATTCCTATTTTCAGGTTTCGTCAACATTCCAAAAAGATACACGGCACCGAGCTGAGCGACGAGCAGTTGGCGGAGATGTTCCGCGAGAAGAAAGGCTATACAAATCGCCACGATGCGTTTAACAAATCGAACAACTCCCTGGAGATTCCCGGTTTTACGGAGGACTGCTTCACCGAGCTAAGGAGCCTCGGCGTGGACTACGACGATATCACTACGGATCTCTTCGCCAGCTCAACCGCCCTGGACAACCTGCTAAACCTGATACCCTAAGCCAATCCGGATCCATTACCTGAAAAGAATTTACAAAATCTAACGGCACAAATAATAGCTGACGAGAGCTAGAAGACTGTCTGCACTTTACAAATCACTTAACCGACATTATACACCGCCCTTTTTCAGTTCGAACAACTTTTTTGCTCAGAGAACTCAAACCAAAACATACATTTACATGTATCCACAATGAAGCCATGATATTTTTGAAGTCACAAACTCAATAAACAGAAGGAAAAAAGCGTTTCTGAAACGCACAAAATTCTCTCGGGTTATTGTAACACTCTGAAGGAGCTTGTATTTAAACTATTTCAATTTCAATAACTAATTAACGCCCTGGATGAATTTTGAGAGGAAGTCCGTGGGTTTGGGGTCCTGTGACTCCTTCCAGTAGCGCATGATGTGGCCTTTCTGCTTCCAGATCTCGACGGATTCTTTGAGCTCCATTTGGCCCTGAACGAAGAGGATTGAATATTATATGTAGAGAGGAACTTTGGTGAGGTTCTTACCTTGATGACCAACATGTCGATCACCCGGATGTCGGTCACGCCGCGATGCTTAACGAACTCTTCGCGCAATTTATCCCGGCACTGTTCCACGGACATGGGGATGTCATAGTCCATAACTGGAAAAGATCAAAGTGGTTTATACGGCGTCGGGATCCGGATTTTGATGACATAACCAGGAGCACTCACCGATATATGGAATCTGACGGTACCAGGCCTTGTACAGATTAAGGGCGCGTTTGCGGGCCTCCTCCCGGTCCACAGACAGGATGGGGCGCACCTGCTGCACAGCTCGCTTCACGGCTTCGCGTCCGGCCATTTGATTTGTTTTTATTTCTCCTGTCCTATTCGACGACCAAGTTGCTCGCAAAAACAGTGGGACCGGATTGTAATACTAAATATCTTGAAAGCTAGATACCAAAACAAAACACTTTTCTCTTTAAAAATACCAAAATATTACGTCAAAATTATTTATTTTTAAAAAAGTTAGTCCCTTGTTATAGTTCAATAAAAAAAAATGATGACTAAAAATTGGACACCGTTTTTAAAATTAAACTTTAATAAAATACGGCGCTATGATTCTCAAATGTTTTTAAGTATTTGAAATTTGAACTAGGAGACCGCTCTTGAAATAGGTGGCAACGCTGTCTGTATTGCGATTCATTTCCAGCAAATTTCTTCTGTTAAAGTTGCCGGACTGGTGGTTTCAGCGGTTCGACAAAATAAATAAATAAATGAAATAATGGCTAGCGACTTTCCGCCCTTGGTGATCCGGGTGTGGATGCACAAGCTAAATAAGGGATTGGGCCAGCCATCGGCGGTCCTGGAGCGCTCCTTGGTCAACTACATGACTCTGGGTAAGTGGCCAATACAAAGGGAACAAAAAACTATTTCTTAACAATTCCAACCTTTGTCCAGAGGAAGCTCGCTTGGCGGTGGAGAATGCCACGGAACGCGGGATCCTGGTGCCGAAAGCAGTGGGCGGTAGGGCCAAGCGTATGACCCTCGCCTTCTGCCAGAAAGTGAGCCGCTTGCCCAGCTCCACAAGTGATTATTACTGCTTTGAGTGCCATCTGCCCGGAATGGTAAAGAAGTGTGCATCCTGCGAACGCTGTTTCCACGAGGATTGCCAACGCAAGGATCCCGAGAAGCCAAACTATTCGGTTCCTTCGGATAAAGGTCAACCCTACCGGTTCCCCGTCAACGAAACGGACAAGGAGCCGGAGCACATTAACCAGAGCATGGAGGCTCCACAGACGCCCACTCCGAAGCCGCTGCTCGACCACAATAGCAATATCAACCAGGATTCACCAGCCACTCCGGAGTGCCTGAAGCACGAGAGTCTTGAGTGGGATGACGATGTCTTCTTTGTTAGCGAGCAAAAAGGCACTCGTCAGCGAAAGCAGGCCAGGATTAAGGACGAACTGCAGACCAGCACAGACAACGACGAGAGCAGCGATCTGGAGCGCTGCACACGCTGCCGTCTGCACGCCCTGGCCGCTCTACACAATCCGCCGCAGCTGGGCAAAGATGAGTTGGGCTGCCTTTTGAGATACTCCTGGGACAAGCATTACTCCTGGATCACCATGGATGTGGCCAAGTATATGGTCAAGCACTGGAATGAGCGCGACAAGGCACTAGTCAAGCGATTCCTTTTTAAGACTAAGATATTGGGGCTGGTCGACATTGAGCGGAACATTGAGGCAAAGAAGTATACGTACTTAACTGAGTTCCTGATGGATCTGCTCGATTTACAGCACAACATTGCCGTGTTCTTTGGCAACAAGAGCGTGGAGTATAATGCCACCAAGTGGCTGGTAAGAGATGTCACACACGACATCCGTGAAATCCGTCGTTGTCCCGACTGCTATCGGTTTTCCAACGAAGCCAGTCTTTCGGATCTCTGGTTTGCCAAGCCCTGTCTACAGCGGCATGAATTGGTTTTCGCCAAGCAGGCCGGTTCGCCACGGTGGCCTGCTAAGGTGGGTTTCCGTTTAAACAGCATCTCAAACATAACACCATGCATAATCATCTTTTGTTTGTATTTTACCTAGGTAATGGGCGTGTCTAGAAGGCATCCCATTAAGTACGACGTTCGCTTTTTCGGTGGCTCTCATTCCCGAGCACTCATCTCGGAACGTGATATTACTCCTATAGAATCGGACATTCTGTCGCATGTAAAGCCAAGGAACTCTCGTGCCCTGACCGCCGCCCTGAGGGAACTGCAGTGCCACATGTTGTTGTCCCACTATTCCGCTTCGCTATTTGGTTTCCATGCTGATCCCGCCGTTGCTGAAAACCTTATAGAAAGAGCCCTGTCCCACTGCACGGAATCCAATGAAACGAATTCGACTGGCAAGCGGGGAAGACCTTCGACTCCAGGTCTACCGTCCACTGCGAAGAAGCGAAGACTGAATGCCACCGCTTTTGATGCCCCATCTCCGGTGCCCGTTCGATCAACTAATTGTGACACCGTTACCTATGATAACCAATCCGCCGAATTACTTAAGGCGCAGGAGGAACTGCTGAAATGCAAGAGCGCGCTGACCGCCATGCAGAAGAAGCTGGATGAAGTGAAAAGAAAACAGTGGTGCTACTTCTGCCTGGAAGAAGCCACCTTCGACTGCTGCTTCACTGCGTCCTACTGCAGTGGAGAGTGCCAACGACGCGATAAGAAACGTCACCAACCAACTTGCGAAGTCAATCACTAAAATAATAGTTATGTACATGAGGTTGAGATTATTGGTGTCGTTTTGTGAAACTGGATTACTTGCAATCCAAAGTGATAAGATATCGTTTCCTACATTTTCCTATGTATCAGATGTATTATTTTTAAGATATTCAAAGTTATTCCGAGAAAATAAAGATTGTTAAACTGAAATCCCCGTAAAAGTAATACATTATTCGCAGTAAAGTTAGCTTGCGCAGATCTTGTAATTTTGAAAATAGGCGCCCCTTTAATTCATTTGATGGGCAGCACTCTTCCCGATAGATGGCGCATTTGTATCTTCAAACTTGTAAAAAACATAAGTTTATAGAAAAAACATGCAAGTTGAGCAATTTTATGCGACGTTTTTTATAGATAAAAATATGTAATAAATAATAATATAAAAAATATATATTATAAAATTATGATAAAATATATTTTTTACATGCCTAAAGGTTGTTGATATTTAAACATTATAGTTTGCACCGCCCAAGATCTTTAATCTTGCGAAATTCGTTTGATATTAAAGTGGTGTATTATGCTACCATTATGGACAATTACGCTCTGGTAAACGTGTTTGCCGCGCAAAACGATGCTGTTAACAGGCAAAAAGTTCAGACGAAAGGTCAAATCGAATTGGCGAAAGGTTTTAAAGGGTGCAATGCAATTTACGAGTGCAGGCGAGCATGTGAATGCCTCAGATGCGATGGAGCGATACGGGGGGCTCGCCTTATGAATGCAGGCCGGCGGGAAAATGACCGTTAAGCGCTTATCCCAAAATAATTGATTTATGCCGGGTTCAGCAGACTATTTTCGGGGGCCATTCCCAAAATGGATACTATGTGTTGGCACCTTGCGCCGGCATAAATAGAAATACATGGCTGTAATAAATACTTCACTTAGGGGCGAAGTATCATCAGCACACGATTAATGCTCAGTGAGGAGTTTCTGGTTTCTGGTTTCGTTATTCGGCTATTCTGCTCCCCAAAGTCGGAAGTCACGTTTAAACGTTTTCGCTAAAAGTTTCACACAGCGGATGATTGATGAGCCGCACACAAGCGTGTAGTTTACCTTTCTGTGTGGAATATACTCGTATGGTCATTAGGGCTTCCCTGTGTTTATCATTGGCTCGCTTTAATGCACTTTCTCCCTCGCAATAGTAAATCGTTCTTGGAATATTTCACCCTGCCACTTAATTAACCCACTGCCAGAATCAATAACATTCTCCTCCATTTCCTTTTCCATTTGGAGCAAGTCACTATTGTTTGCTGGCTAAATATTTACTCAAGATTTTTGCCCAGTGAAACTTTAGTATTTTCAAATAAAAATCTCTGCCACCGTCTGCCAATATTTGATGGAATTTTTGACAAAGAAAAACAGGCAAATTTCAGTGGCAATTAAGAAAATTCTCTAGTTTTTGTCCAAAATAAACAAGGCTTTTTTGTTATCGTCTGTCTGCTTGCATTTGGAATTGTGTTTTAATTATGTGCAAACTCCAGTGGAGTTTTTGTTGAAAATTTGTCTGCTGTAAATTAAACTCTGGCTGCCCAGGCAGAGTATTTCCCATCAGCCCGTAATCAAATTAGTCGCCTGCTTATTTAAACTGCACTAATTTGTCTACCTCACGAAGGGAGTTGTCTCGCCGTTAAAGTGAGTATCTCCTTGCTTATCGCAAGGTTCAACCTTCCAGGTTGTCAAAAGGCGGAGGACTCCGAGGAGTTTTTTGTGACAGGCGGGAGGATTTATGGGCTGCGAGTTGCCTGCCTACAATTGGCCAACAAGGATCCTTTAATTAATTTTCTTTGCGACAGGACCAAAAACTTCTGATTAAATTTTTTTTGGGAACATGACACACATACTTGAATGTGGGAATATTTTAAAATAATTTTATTCAAGAAAATATTATATACAGTGTGAATTATAATTGATAAAAAAAAAAGATTGTTATGTTTAAAATGGTTTAAAGGATGCAAAAAATAATAAATAGAAAAATAATAAAAATAGAAAAAATTGTACCATAACATTTATGTTACTTTTTTATGAAATTGAACATATGACAGACATTTAAAGTCTGTTTAAAAATACCAATCAAGTGGTATGAGGGATTTAAGCTAAACAGGCATTCCAGTCATCTGATTTTTCCTACTCAAAAGTGTTTTTCACTTGCTGGTACGAGCACATCTTGTATTTCTTTAGTTTTTCCTGGCTGAGTTTCAAGCTCCAACGAAGCTGCTCCTTTTTCGTCCTCAGCCTACACTTGAACTTGACCATTGCCAAGGATATTGTTTTGTCCTGGCGCCACCCACTCAACACTCAACAGTCAACGCTCCACTGGAGCAGCTGTGCAGAATTAAATCTCGGATGGGGATCCAGTGCCTCGAGACTCAGACGAGCCATGAAATGCAATTTCAGCCGCCAACATGTGCAAAATGCTGTCGCTTGTAAAGTTTTTTGGCATGCGACAAATATTTACCACAATAAGGGGAGCCAGAACTTTAATTTATGGCCAACGACAAGTGCAACTGCACGCCCCAACGCCAACGAGCAACATGCAACACCCAACCAGCAACATGCAACGTGCAGCATTCAGCATGCAGCATGCAATACAAAAACTGAACAAAACAACCGCAGACAGCCGGAGGATTGCATTCGAGCAGCTCCCTCGGCGAAATGTGAGTTAATGAGTCCATTATGGGCGCCCAAGAGACGCGATAGAATCCATTGAGAATTTAGATGAAAAGCCCTCAATTTGTGAGGGCGTGTAATTAAAATACTGGGCTAAGCCGCTCTGGAATTCCATCCGAATGCCAAACTTGGCAAAGTGTCAGGAATTATGCTGATTTTATATCTCCCTTATCGAATGTGCGTCATGTGGAGTTGGAGTTGGATTTTGGGGTTCTTACATAACCGTAACGAACTTTCAAAATGACTCGCAATCTGGGTGAGTGCCGCCCCGCCCAAATCCAAAAAAATTCTGATCCGCCATCGGTGAGTCAGCCTTGTGACCCTGGCAAGTCATTTATTGGTTCAGCCAATTCCGGAGAAGCCAACACTCAAGTGTCAATGGCCAAAAGTTTTGTGGCCCACGAGGGGTCATAAACCAAAGTTAATATTGGCCAAAACAATCAAGGATATTGGCTTAAGTGGGGGAATGTATTAAAATAAGTTTTTTGTATTAATATAATAAATTAAAATGTCCATAAAAAAATGTAAATATCTTAGTATTTATTACCCTCTAGTTTCATTTAAATAAATAACCTTAACCTTTCCAGGCAATATATTTATTTCCCATCCCATAAATGCTATTTTCCTGCCAATGATTTTATTTCTTCATTTATTAACATGCTAATAAGACTTGACTTATCATTTCCCCGTCAAAAAAAAAAAAAAAAAAACAGAAGAGCCAAAGCCATTTTCGTTTCCTGCTCGTTTCCCCCAAACAAACTTCAACTGGAACTTCAGCTTTCGAATTTCTTTTAAAACCAATTATCAAATCATGTCGCTGCCGGCTGACAAACTCATTTATTTTGCTCGCTGCACTCAAAACTGAGACAGACCCACATACATCATACTTGCACTTGGTGTGGATATGGACGTGGATCTGGATGTGGATCTGGCACTGGGAAAACCCCCTATCCCACTAAAAAACCCCCACTCCTTGAATGCAACCTAATTTTGCTTTCGTTTCCACACATCCAACGTATGTACATACAGAAAAAAAGACAGAAAATGTGTGGTTTTTCCTTGAGAAAACTTGGACTGCCCTTTCAGCAGATCCCCAATTTGTGGACCTTAGACCACAATGCCATGGCAAAGACCGAGACCCAGATCCACATCCAAAAAAAAAAGTGTCAAACTGTCGCCGGTGCCTGAAATTGTCATTACTCAATGTCCATTGCCTCGTTTACAGGTTCGGGAATTACATCTGGAGCATGGGGAAAATGGAGGGGAAATGGAGGGGGAAATTTCCAACTAATTTTAATGTGTGACAATTAAATTTGTTGGTTCTTTGGGGCGGAGAACTTTGTTGGTTTGCCTACCAATTAGTTTTTCTCTCGAGGAAGCCACAATAAACTTTGCCAGTGGTTTTTATGCTCTCAACATCACTAAAAATTTTAATTTGCTATTTTAGAGTTAAATAGTCTATTAACGAGAGACCACTTGAATTATTTGAAAATTAAACTTAAATAATTACAATCTTGTAAGAAAAAATTCAATTTGTAAACCACTTATTTCTCCAATGTTTTGTCACTTATATTTACGAGAATAATAAAGTTCGCTAAGTAATTTTCAGTTTTGGCCGAATTATTGGTTTTGACACCAATTATAATTTTCAAAAAATATAAAAAAATAGACACTTGAAACCGCGATTTTTATTGGTCCGTCAGTCACAACTTGTTTTCATGTTTTTCAGCGCTTTCAATTGATTATTTTTTGTAATCCCCACTATTTTATCCATATTCTCGCCAATTCGTTGGCGCTCAAAATACATCAGCATAAATCATTCGCGAATCTCTGGCAAGCGCCACAAAAAAATGGGAAAAAAAGGAGTGGATACCAGAAAAAACACAGAGACATATTAAATTTACAAGTTGATTTTGATTTATGCGCAATGAGCATATGGACAGACACACAAACCGAGATTTGTTGTCTGCAGACGCTAACTTAATTTAACTTACCATGTTGTTGTTGTTGCTTTTGTTGTTATTGTTGTTGTGGTTGTTGTCACCGTGTTGGTTGCCATAACTTTCTGCTGTTTGCTGTTGTTGCTATTCCGTCTCAATTTGCTGCCTGCGCCGCCTGTCGCCGTCAATTAAGCCGGGAAATCTCGCAAACGGTTTGAGTTTTACCCGCCCGCAAGCCAAGGGGGGGAAATCCATTGAAATAACGGTAAGCCCCAATTTATTATGATCTTTAAAAATCGAAATAGTGCTCCACTAATGGTAGTATTACACAAAAATAACATAAGTCATAGCTATTGAAAAATTTATGTTTGGTCATACTGTACATTTTATATTTAAGTTTGGTAACAAAAAAGTATATTCTATAAATACTATACTAGTATATACTAAATTTATAAATACTGCTTTGCGGTTTTAAAATAATCAGCATATCCTAAGTAACCTAAATAATTTACATTCTCTGCTAATGTGTTTGTGTTAGCTTTTGAGCCTTTAAAAGAATTGGTATTGGCGAAAATCTTTCCTGTGAGCCAGATAGCCATGCTTTAATTTATATACTATATTACCACACACAGACTTAATTCACTTAAGCGCCTTTTCATGTCGGCACCTAAAAGCTTTGAATGGGATGCACATCAGCAGAATCAGGAGGGAATCTCGCCGCGTTTTGTGCAGTGGCGGATACAGGGGGGGGGGCGATAGGGGCGATCGCCCCCCCTCAGCTTCTGAAAAAAGGTGCTTCACTGGCGTGAACTTCGGAAACCTGCGTGTTACAGCGTGTCGCCAGTCCTTCCTTGCCCTACTTCTTCCCTTGTCTATCGCTCCTCCTAAGACTAACTAGCCTAGCATTGCTACATACGCATTCCGAAATCAGTATTCACATCGAGAGAGTTATAGAAAAGTTTTTAAAAAGAGGGAAAAGAATAATGGAATTCGCCATTTAGATTAAAATTAATTAATTTATTTGTACAGAGTGTTTTGAATAAAACTGCGTATAATTTTTGATTATTTGCCACCTGCTACTTGCATTGTTTAAAAAAAAATTTTGATCGCCCCCCCCCCAGGCAGATACCTGTATCCGCCCCTGGTTTTGTGGGCGCACAGAAGTTTCTCAGTCCGTCGCCATCAACTTCAAACTGGCAGAGCAAACACAGAGATACGGATACAAATAGTGGCAGACACCCGGTGGTAACTCGAATTAATTAAAACTGAAAATTGCAGTCTCGCTTGGCAGGGAAATGTGCCCTATTAAAAACCTGCAATTAGCAGCGCAAAATCTCTGGGCCTTGTAATTTGATAAGTCCTCGAAACTTGACCTACTTTTTGTGAATACGGATACGCTAATGAAGTCCATCTGAGAGGGAATTTTATTTCACTTATTTTTCGGCCCCACAGCACCAAAAAAAAATAATCAAAAACTTCCCCTTCTTTTGCATCCTGTCGTTTAATTTTACGGCGCTTTCATTTAAGCGCTGGCATTTAATGTGAAATTTATCATTTCACCGCCACGCTTCCCGCCCCTCAGACAAATTGTCGGCCTTGGACAGATTTTTTATGGCACTCACATTTCTCCGAGGCGTAAAATGATATTTTACTTTTTTCAGCTTTTAAAGTTGCTTTTTGGCTGGCGGTTTTTAAATGAGAGTTCCTTCGGCTCATCCATTTTTTGTTAGAGCCACAACTTTTAACCGCAACCTGTCTGCACATCGCTTGCTCGGGGGTGGCAATCAAAAAAGCCGAAAAAAAATGAATTTCAAACAGGAGTTTTCCAGTTGGCCGGGGGGAAAAAAGTTTTCTGTCAAAGGATTTTCCAAAAATAAAATTAATGCAAACGAAATTAGTTGGGGGCAAAGTGAAGATAGTTGGAAGTTCCATTAAGCCGTTATAATATGATTATAAATTTTAAAATTTCTCTAACAATTAATATAAAAACACACGTATTTTAAAAGATTCAAGCTCAATGTCAGTTGGATAGGAAACATAAATATGCATGCTGGCGATTTGCTTGCATTTATACAGCAGTTTCAAAGTAAAGTCCAATTTGCTGTTACAAAACTAAAAATTAAATTTTGCTATGTTTATTAATTTTTACCAAAAAACTTATATGTATTTCTAATCTTGAAAAATGACGAAAGTCATATTGAGCATTAACTGCGTAAAACTAATAAGCAACCCAATTTAAGACTGTCCTAAATTAAATCGGAATGTTTTTTTATCTGTCTCTACAATTTTACTATTCGGAATATTCATAAGTTTATTAGAAAATTTTAAATCAATTAAGCTCTACATTATTTTTTGGGCTAAAGATGACTATTTTTTAAATCAGGCGCCAAATAAGAAATGTCTTAGCTCGTAATATCTTTCGGCGTTGCCAGAAAACAGAAAACACAAAACTAAAACCTTTGAAAGTTCCTGACAAAAACATAAGCTGTATATAGGAATTCATTGTGTTTGGTTTTTAGGAAAATATTCAAAAAAAGGTTCTCTTCGTTTTTCTTAAATTAACAAGTATTTATAAGACTTAAAGATAAAATGCTTAGAAAACGAAACCAAGCCGAGTATCCAACCAAAGTGATGCCAGCACGGCAAACAATGGATTTTTTAGTGGTTTTCGAATCACTGAAGGTGGTAACACTGGCAAAAGGGACACCGCGCGGAGTCGGTTTTTTTTTTCGAGGCGATGAGGTCGGTGCGCGCACGATTGTATCGAAATTTTGTATAAATCGCGCCTAACCAATAGTAAAATCAACTAAAAATTAAGTTTAAGGCGAATTAAATTGAGTAAAAGGCGGAGGAAAAACCAAATCCCATTCGTTTAATACAGAAAAGCACAACAAATGAGAATTTAAAAAACTGCAGCTGCAAGTCCCGATGCCTGGCGAAGGCTAGAGCGAGACAACGCTACCTACCCGAGTGTGTGTGCAATTTGTTGATAGTATTTTGCTGTTGTTGTAAAAATGCTCAGCTTGCAGGCGTGCAGCAACAACAAAAAAAACTGAAACAACAACAAAATCGACGAACGCCGGCAAAACAAAAACGCGTAAACGGTGAATTTGATTGATGCGAAAAGCACAAAATAGGAAAACCGAAAGCAATATTCGTTAAAGAATACACAACAAAAGTGGAGTGAGCAAAAGTCGCGCGATTGTGTGTCTGTGCGTCGCGTAACCACGCGTGTGTATGTGTGTGGAAGCAAAGGATAGAAATAGGAGGCGAAATCGGAGCTTGGCGGAAACCAAACGCCAAAATGTTGTAAACAAATAAGCGAAAAAACCTGAGCCATTCAAATTACCTTCGATCGTAAACGACGGTTTCCACGTTAATCAGCAAAAAAATCGAACTGAAAATGGCCAGCAAAGTAAACAAAAACAGCAGGACGATTTGGAAATGGCTAGTCGGCAGTTATCTGATACTGCAGTTGATTGAAAGCAGTTTGGCAAGTCAAGGTAAGAGAAATAAGTTAAATTCTAAAGTGTATTGCCAGTTATCCAAAAGTCTCGGGTTTCTGGCAAAAAATATGAAAAAATTCAAATTGCAGCCTGAGTAATTCGTTTTTTTTTTTTTTTTTTTCCTGTAGTAAAATTGATTTATTAGTTTTTATTGTTTTGATTCTTCTGAATAAATGCTTATATCTGATTTATACAGGCTGATTAGCTGATAAACAATCTTATTTGAACAACACAAAGTACTTATTGTTAATAAAGGCAATAAAGATTACAAACTTGCGTCAAGCCAAATTCTGTTTTATCCTATCAAAATCATGAAGCCGAATAGGAAAAAAATTAAAAATGTAAATCATAACATATTCGAAGTACTCTAAAATGGATTATTTAATAAAATTTGCGTTGAAACCAACTTTTTCCATATAAAGCACATACTGCATAAATCGGCACGAAGGTAAATTTCTTAAATATGTATCTATTTGAAGAACGAACTTTGTAGGAAACCATAAATTTTAAGGAGTAATACTGATAGTTCGGTTTTGGCGACTGGATGTCTGGTTGACGTGCTAGAAAGCAGGTATAGGTGTCCAAAAACCCCTCGTTTTCGAAGGGTGATGTCAACGCATGCTGATAAGCAGTCATATTTCGCACCTCTCACTTTTTTTTTGCACTCGCAAAGTTGATGTACATTCGAGAAACCCTTTCCTGGCCGAACCACATGAGCCAATCACCCGGGGTAATTCACAGTAATTGCGCTCCATCATATCGCCTGCAGATAAGAACTCAAAGTAAGAAGGTTGCAAAACGGTTATCTGCACCGATAGTGCCTCGAATTTCGAACATTAGTAATGAGCTTCGCTTGAAACCAGATAAACCAAACACTGCACAACAAGAATTCGAAACTGGCAAACTCGTTCTCCAAATAAACGCTTACCATGTTTACAAGTACATAAGCCAAAACAAACACCAAACAAGGCCTTCTTTTCTTGTGAAAAAAATCAGGAATCGTTGAAATAGGTTCAGACAAAATGGTAGCCGTACGAGTCATTATCATTAGTTCAAACCCAGGAAACAAGTGATCCCGAAGGATCAGGTAAAGCAGGTAGATGCGGTTCAGCCCAAATTCAATTAGGATTTAAGATCGTCCACAGTTTCAGGTCAAAACTAAGGTTCCTAACAAAGATTAAAGAAGATTGGTAGGCAGCTGCACAATGCTACAATTGATTGATTCGGTTTCAAACTAAGCCTGGGGTGGTTTAAAGGCTTATCATATTTCAATTTTCGGTTCGACAAAATAAACAATCGCAGGAAATGAGGGAGGGATAATGGAAATCCCACTAAAAGCGCAAATAATGCAAACAAATTAAAAGTCCTGCGCTGAATCTCGCTTTTTTCTCCCTGCGAACCGAGAAAAGCACCCCTAAAAGTGAAAATTGTCCTGAAAAGGGGAGCCGCCTTATCAGCTGGTAAATATATCAATGCCAACTCCAAAGGAAAGACCCCAAAAAGTCTGCTCGTAAAAAATTTCGAGCATGTCATATGCAAATGGAACAAAAAATCTTTCAAGAAATTTTTAGGTCACGGCATGTCATAAGTCGCAGGACTTTGCGACAGATTTAATTAAAAAAGGCAGTTACTTACATAACTACAAGCTTTATGTGGTGGGCGGTAATTAAAAATACTACATGGGTGTAACCAGCTGACAGAAAAATGGTGACAACAATGGCTCGTGATGAATGCTCGACCACTTAGTTACCTGCTTAATTGTGATTTAATAAATGGTAATGGCTAACCAAAATAAATCAATAATAATAACATGAAAAGCGTTTGATTTATCGCAAATTATGTGACTTGTGATAGCTAATATGAGAGCAATAATTAATGATATTGCAATCCCAACGAACAATTTATATAATATTCCTTTTTTAATATATCCCAAGGACCCTCTAAGTACCGTGTAAAAAAACATCACGTGCGACGTCCTGTTCTCATTTTTGTTTTTATTTCCTAGCTCTCTTTGTTTTCACTTTTCTGGTCATATATTTCTTCGCTTTTGCCCTGGGAACCGTGGCAATTGTTTAGTATCCTGGGCGAGTCGCATTTACCCTGGTTTTCCTTGGCTTTTCCCCGTGGCCAGAAGCATATTTAGCCGCATTACGTGATACAATATATGAGTGACACGTTATTCTAATTTCGCACCCCTTTTCACGTTCCTGGCCACATTTTTTCCGTTTTCCTGCGAGGGTGCGCTTGTCAAAATAAACATTTCCATATGGCGGCCATAGCCCGCGGGCGATGTGTCGCAATGTGACAAACAAAGAGAGGGAAAAATGTAAAAAGAAAGAAACCATCGAGGAGAGAGTGTTTAGGGGTTTCGAATGAGGTCACTTCTTCTTCTCCGTTGAATGCAGTCTAATTACGGACCGATGCAAAGTATCTCAATTATGTTTAAAACTCAAGCGTCACTCAGAAGTGTTGACAAAGCGGCGGATATTGTTCGTCTTTCGAGGCTCTGGGTTCTGAGGGTATATGTACTATATTTACATGACTAAGAATCCCTTGAAGGACTTGGAAACATCTCACTTCTGTGCCACTTATCGATGGTCGATGCAAGGTGTCTTGGGTTTCTTTTTAAAAAAAACGTGCATTGTTTACTGTTTTTCTCTTCGCAAACAATGGCAACTTTTGTCCCTGCAAGTTGCAGAAATAAAGTTTTGCCAGTGGATGTGCGGTTAAACAAAAGTTGGGCTTGTCACTTAATTAAAAAATATTGTGTTGTTTTCGTTCTTACAAGCAACAAAACAGAGACAACGTGTAGATGTGGCATATATATTGGGAAACTCCTGATGCGGGAATTTTTATGGAAAAACAGCATGAGGAACTTGCATTCGACACCAAAAAATACACTCAGCAAACATAAATAAAATCAGCAACATTGGTTTACAGAGAAAAAAAATATAAACACAAACATACACGTAACGCCAATCATTATCACGGTATAAAATTGAATAAGTAAATATATATAAATATAGAAAATAATAGAAAAAAGAAATATTTATCTTTCTTATCATTACAACAAGTATGTAATTTGTGTTAATATACCTTTACTAAAATGCACTCAAAAATGTGTTATTACTTAAGATATGTATTTAATATGGCAGACTTTATTAATCATAACTCGAAATAAATGTTCTCTGTGCGAGGTTGATGCTGCGTTGGCAGAATGCAATTTCGTTTGCAGCTTCGAACTAAAATCCTCTCTCCCTCCACCAATTCGACATGACAACATGAATAATTCACTTGAACCCGCCACAAAAACAAAAACAAGAAAGGAAGCTAGCTTCGGCAAGCCGAAGCTTATATACCCTTGCAGATCTCAAATATGTCGAACAAAATGCATAAGGCCTAACAACATCGAAGCTATGACGATTTTTCTATTCATTTTCCATATTTTCGACTATATGGGAGCTATATGATATAAATGTCCGATTTTGATCAAATTTAATTCGTAATTCAAGAATCGTAACAAAACTCTATATTCCAAAAACCATACTTGCCTGATGAAAAACAACGATGTTATAATTTTATTTCCGTTATTTCAATATAGATTTTCCGATCTTTCCTATGGCAGCTATAAGATATAGTTGTCCGATTTTTATGAAACTTTTTTCTCAATATAAACGTTGTTAAAAAACTTTATATTCAAAAAATCATGCTTGTGGGATAAAAAACAACGATGTTATCAATTTATTTCCTTTAATTCTATATACAATTTTCGATCTCTCCTATGGCAGCTATATGATAGAGTTATCCGATTTTGATCAAATTTAATCCGAAATTCAATAACAGTTAGAAAACGCCATCTTGAAGAATTTAAGTCGATCTGATCAAAAACAACGGCGTGAGAATTTTTTATTTCATTCTCTCGTATGGGAGCTATCCGATATAGTCGGCCGATCCGGCCCGTTCCGACATATATACTGCGTGCAATAGCTACACAACTTTTGGGAAAGTTTCAGCAAGATAGCTTTAAAACTGAGAGACTAGTTTACATAGAAACAGACAGACGGACAGACGGACAGACGGACAGACGGACCGACGGACCGACGGACAGACGGACAGACGGACAGACGTACATACATATTTCGATTCAGATGGTGATGCTGATCAAGAATATATATACTTTATGGGGTCTGAGGTGTCTCCTTCACTGCGTTGCAAACTTCTGACTGAAATTATAATACCCTTTTGCTCTGCAAGGGTATAACAAGAAATGCAACAACCCGAAAAAGGCCGAAAAGTTCAATGCACGCAACCGCAAAAATCCAGATTTTGACCAACTAAAAAAAAGAGGGAAAGAATCAGGAAGCAAGAGTCGATCTTCAGGGCAATACAGAAAACTGTTTTGGCCATGAAAGCATCTTGGCAACAATGTAGCTCCTTTTGCATTTAGCATACTGTACTTTCTGTGGGGGCGTTCTCCTAAAGATTAGGGCCAATTTGCATAGTAGGTGCGTGGGTGATCCGTAGGTGGCCTAAAGAATTGCAGTGAAGGACATGACTGGAGATGCCAGTGAAGAAATATGTAGTTCCAGCCCACTTCAGAAAAGACGATCTTGCCGTACTTAACTTGTTCAGCTGAGAGCTGAGTGGCTTAAAGTGCCGTTAAAACAAGCCTGCCTGGCTCGCAAATCTCACACCTCCTTCGACATGGGAGCTCCTCCATTTCCCCATTTACAATTTAGCATTCCCCGAGTCCACACACCAACCACCGGGGCTATGAAATATCAGAAATTATCTGCCTCCACGCCTCGAATCGCACTTAATCACCTCGTGTGCAGATGGCAAAGGAGTGAAACGACCGAAACGGAAGTCGGCAACAGTTTTTTAAATGCAGTCATTTAGCCAAAGTGCCAAAGTGCTGGCCGGCTGACTAAACCGACAGACTGAACCAACTGACTGAAGCGGCTCTCTAGGCTGCAAGATCTGTGATATGGCCACGC